TAACAAGTCTGACCGAGAATACTTATAAATTACCAAAAATTGTAACATGCATATTATTTTGATACTTTAAGTCAATAGGTTTGCTTGGGCTCAGCAAAATTAAGAAGTGCATTTTGTGTCTCAGGAGATTTGGTGTCCTTAGATAAGAAACCTTTAGACACCATTCCAGGACTTAGCACCTAATCCACATTCCATAAAAATACTTCTAGAGAATTAAATAGGCTTTGCATCAGATCTGTCAGGGTGTGTCCTCCTACTCTATGGCCAGTCTTGCCTCCTTGCTGCCTACACGGTGACACACACCAAAACTGGGGCTGTGTGCAGTTTGGTTGGTTGGCCAGCTGAGCAAGCTGGGCCAAGTTACCACATGAACCACACTGGCCAAGTGTCATGCTTACTGTAACCTTCAGGGATGAACAAAGCTGCACATAACTGAACACGAGAAAGGAGTCGCTGGGCCATCAGACAGGACTTACTGTCTCAGACACTGTTCCATATACTGGAGGTATAGCAGCACTACATATGCAGCCAGAGGTTGATGCTAAGTTACCCTTCCACTGGTGCTGTCATTACAAAGTTGTCATGCAAACACAACATAAATGCTGGTCACTTCTCTGAACATAGAAAATGGAAGTGGAAACAGCTGGTTTCACAAGCCAGCGTAGCCTATTAATGTTTTAAGAAATACTACAGAGGTGACTTTAAATTGGAACTTTTATGAGTCCATTCCTCCTAATGGGTAGGATACATCTAACATGTTAAGACTAGTACAGTATAGATAAAAACAGTATCTTTATCACATTGCTTATATCTTTAGATTATATCTACTGTAACACCACTACAATCTACCAATACAATCTCTTCATGGCACACATTTACAAAGCAATCAGAAAGCTATGCATCTCTTCTACACCACACCTTGCATACTGCAGCTCACTACAGGCCAGTGGCACAAGACACCACCAGATTCTGCAGCATTAACTGATCCTGAATAAATTATTTTTAACTGCAACTACCAAGCTCTTATCCTCTTCAGGGACAGCCATGTTCTTTGTGTATGGGCTGCATACAAAAATTTTAATAACATCTTTTCCAGTCCCTGCAGCACTGCTTGCCACTACCAGCAACAGTCAGAAAGAAATCAGGGCCACTTAGTAACCTCTTTCCAGTGAAACTTTTTCTTTCCATCAAACCATTTTGCACTAATTCAGAAAGCCTGTAACCATTTACTATCAGTCACATTACATTTCTAGTGTAGTCCTAGTTATTTCATCAGCACTAAAATTGGGAACCTGGAAGTAATGGATTTTTTCCAAGCTCTCCCCTAAAGTAAGCTCTGCTTAGTCTACCTACTGAAAGGGCATTGTAAGGTGTCAGAGAGTTTCAGTGACTATTTTCAATTAACCTGCAGAGAAGCTTGGGAACTGAACTTTATTATTCCCACAAAACTGAACTCAGCAGGAGTCATCTTTCCCATTTTTTATTTTGGAGGTTTTCAGAAGATGAGGGGAAGGGGCAGGGAGAGAAGAGAAACTGACTCATAAGACATGTCACACAGGTAAAATGTGTGACAAAGGGACAATTAAAAAGTCCTACCATTGCATGTACATCTTCAGCCTCTGAACTACTCATTTTCAGTCAAGAACAAGATCTTGGGATATAACCAGGAATTATTTGAGAACAGCTCATTACTGAACCACAAGTCAGAGAAGGCACACTCTGGGCACTGTGCCACAACCAAAGAATCTATAGTGTGCCGAATTCCTCAATAGTTTGTACAGTTGTTAGAGCTAGAAAAGGCACAAAGAAGGGCAAGAAGGATGGTCAAAAGATAAAGTGTTGTTTTCTGAAAGCAAAACACTGACTTCCAGATTGACATCTCCCAAGAAGGGTTTTTTCCCTGCAATATCATCGGTCTCTTCATCTGTTCAAAGCCATATGTATTTAATATAGAAGTCTACTAAAAAAAGATGATTCCTATGGTCTGTGTCACAAATTTTTCTTCCCGTGGGAAATCAACTGTCAGAGCCCTGACATCTGCTACTGATGTGTAAAAGCAAAGCAGTTCACCTCTCTCTGTATAAAAGTACAACCTTATAACCAAAGCAGACAAGGGACAGTATAAAGCAACACACAAGATTTTGACCACAGAAGAAAATACTTCCTTGGACATGCTGACTAGTTCTTTTCATTGGCAAATTTTAAATACAAGGCTAGAAATCAATCTTGTAACTGTAAGCACTTTGTGTACTAGAGGCCCATAAGCTGCACAAATGAGTCTAGAGGAAAAAGCTGCCAGCTGCCACTGTTCTAAAGACAGCATTATTTATGCCAGGAACTTGACCTTCCAATGCAGATCTGAAGTTTTCCCCCTAGAAAGAGGTAGGACAGCATTATTCAACATAGGTTTCTTCATCAGGATATTCTACTCTACAATAGCTCTGCAAAGAATATAAGGTTCAGTTCTGTGTTCTTGCAGTGTAAAGCCTCTTTAGCATCCCTATCAGTTTGACAGATCATTTTACCACCTGACACGATCTTTTACAAAAAAAAAAAAAGCATAAAAGCAATAAAATTGTCAGAGGGGCCAGTTTTTGTTTTGAACTGACATGTCAGACCTACAGCACCACAGGAAATATGTCAGAGCATAGATATCTCTGTTGTTGGTATCACTTTCAAATCAGCATTCTCTACACCTATACACTGAAATATCTCCTCAAGAAGGTCTGGTTTTGTAGACTGAGATATGCTCATCTGTGTGTATACACACACAACTTACATATGCCTATACCATCAGCAGGACAGGTGAATACTTCTATACTATTTAATAGTTCTTAGATTGGGCCTACAAGTAATAATAACAGAAGTCAAAAAACAACAAAAGAAATTTCAGAGTGTTAAGTAACTGTTCATGCTGCACATAAAACATATTTAAGATACTCAACTAAAACATCAAAAATGTTCAAAAGGACTACCCATGTATCTAGAACTTTGCCTTTCAAAAGACAGCTTGCTATTTTCAAAGACAAATGTAGTATGAAAGCGCAGCCATTTCTGGAACAGAGACTTAGAAAACCTAGCAGGTGTGCAGAAGCCTCTGCTACATCACAGGAGTAACAAGCCTGAACCAAAATGGCAAAGTAAACTATGCCTTTTACAGCAAAAACTAAAGGACCTTTAACATCCCTTCAGAATCAGGGTCAACAGGAGCTCACTTAAGATATACACAGTTACCTGCACAATATCTAGCACCAGCATCTGGATTTCAGCCTATCTTTCTAGGGAGAGAGTTTTCATAGAATCACCGAATACCCTGAGTTGGAAGGGACCCACAAGGATCATCATAGTCCAACTCCCAGCCCTGCACAAGACCACCCCAAGAATCACACCGTGTGCCTGAGAGTGTTGTCCAAATGCTCCTTGAACTTGTGTGGGATCTACTGCTCACTACAAATCTATGGGGCCTGATGGGATTCATCCAAGAATACTCAAAAGAGCTGACTGATGTCATCATGAGGCATCTCTCAGTGAGTTTTGAATGGTCTTGGGAATTTGGAGGGGTCCCACTTGACTGGAAGATGGCTAACATTGTCCCAATTCTCAAAAAGGGCAAAAAGGATGACTCTGGAAACTACAGGCTTGTCAGTCTCACTTCAATGACTGGTAAAATTATGGAGAAGATTATTCTTGGAGGTATTGAAAAACACCTGAAGGACAACACAGTCATCGGTCACAGCCAGTAGGGCTTCATGAGAGGAAAGTCCTGTTTGTCAAACTTAATTTCCTTTTATGACAAGGCAGCCAACATAGTTGATCAAGGGAAGTGAGTTGATATAATCTTTTTGGATTTCAGTAAAGCTTTCATTGCTGTCTCTGACAGAATCCTTCTGGACAAACTGTCCAGCCCACAGCTAGATAAACACATCGTGTGGTGGGTGAGCAATTGGCTCATGGGTCAGGCACAAAGGGTTACAGTGAATAGTTACATAAAGCTGGTGACCAGGTCACTAGTGGGATTCCACAGGGCTCCATTTTAGGGCTAATTCTTGTCAACATCTTCCTAAACCATTTGGATGCAAGACTTGAAGGCATACTGAGTAAGTTTGCTGATGATACTAAACTGGGAGAAACTGTTGGCTCTCGCAAAGGCAGAGAGGTCCTCCAGAGAGCCCAGGACAAATCAGAGGGCTGAGCAATCACTAACTATATGAAGTTTAACAAAGACACGTGCTGGATTCTGCATCTGCGCTGGGGCAACCCTGGGTGTACATATGGACTGGGTAATGAGGCACTGGAGAGCAGTGCCATGGAAAGGGACCTGGAGGCCCTGGTTGATGGCAAGTTGAATATAAGTCAGCAGTGCCCTGGCAGCCAGGAGGGCCAACCGTGTCCTGGGGGGGCATCAGAAAAAAGATTAATTCATTACTCATCAGAATATTCAGTAAATTACATCTGAGCTCTTCTCCTAAAAAAACACTGAGAAGAAAGCAAGGTTTGACCAACATATGTCTCACTCCTAAGGATGCCTGATTGGAAAAGACTGCAGCTGTAGTGTCAGAGCACACATACATAAAATACTAAGAGCTGATATATACAGAACCTAGCACAAAATTTCTAGGAGTCACTAATTAGCATACAAGTACTCCTTGACATATTAACAGCCAAAAGTACTGGATTAAAAAAACCCCAAACATTAAAAAAGTCAACAAAACACAAAAAAACCCCTCCTACAATCAATCACCACAACAAAACGAACTCTTAGCTAATGCTATTATATAAACTGTGAAAGTTTGGTTTAATTTGCCAAGTTTTCATGGGGTTTTTTTTATGAGCTCTGATCTGCAGGGTAGGAAAACTGATACCAGTAGAAAGAAGCTTCACCTTCTTCCTTGGAGGGAAGCCTGGCTAAAATACACAACATCAGTGTCCCTGGACCCTAGCGCTTTAAATACAAATAAATACATTTTTAAGTAATGTTGCAAAGGGATTCATTGGTGTACTGCTTTTAAAATTGATTTAATAGGAATTCGATTCTTGGTACAAAAGAAAGACCCCACAGAGGCAAGACAGGGCGATTTTGTGCAAGCACACTGCTGCCCTCTCCTGGGGTGAATCCGATCCACTCCGGTCCTTACTCGGCACAGCAGATCCTGAAGGAAGCTGCGTCTCCAAGACCATCAGGACTACTCTGGGAGCTAGAGATTTAAAATAAACAAAGTAAAAAAGCAGAAGAGTGAAATACACACAGATACAGAACAAACACAGCAAGTTATTGATCATTATACAAACTGTGATAATTCATCACCCTAAATCCTTAAATTCTACAGCAGTTCGTTCCTTCATTTAGATTGAAAAAAAATTTCCCAACATCCACTGAAAGAGTTGTCAAGCATTGGTTCTGACTGCCCAGGGAAACGGTGGAATCACCTTTTCTCGAGGTATTTAAGACTCGTAGACGTGGCACTTAGGGATATCGTTAGACTTAGCAGTGTTTGGTTAATGGTTGGACTCCATCATCTTAAAGGTCTTTTCCAACCTAAATGATTCTATGACCTAATGCAGGAGAGCCCAAAAGTGATTTTCAGCATCAACAGCAGAGCCTGTGGGACAGCAGAATATTCTAAGAACTGAGATAAAATGGCAAACAGCAACTTTCACATTCATAAGCACCAAAGAGTTTTGATACTATTACTGCAGAGTAATGCAGAGTAACCATACAAAGTCACACAGGCTCTTAAATTGCTTTGATTTCAGTGGCATTAGAACAAAGATAAATTCTACTGTTAGTCAAAATCCTGCTTTTGATTACCGTTCATAAGCCCAGGGTAATTCATGGGCCTGGGTACACTTCCCATTTACCAAAGGTTAATGAGTTGCCTTATGTAAGCCAAGCTTTAACTGGCAGAATGCAGGTTTAATCCCCAGCAAGCATGAGACAAAATACGTAGCTTAAGCCTCAGCAAAAGAAGAGTTAAGACAAATTGATTTTAATTTTGAGATGCAACTGCTAAGAATGAACACAGGCTCAGGTACTGCAGTTTAGCTGAAAGGCAACTTACTAAACTGCGGTAATCCTAAACCTACGTTCAAATCGCAAAGTCTAATGTTATTGACAAAGTTTGGTCTTTACAGAATGTTTTAAAGCAATTCACAATTGTATTTTAAACTTAACTAATCACCTAAATAAATATAGTCTGAACATATGCATTTAATGGACTACAGAGGTATAAAACCAGTCCCTCAAATCACAGAAGCAGAAAAACAGCTAAGGTAAACAGAGGAGACGATGGCAGAGTGCATTCCACAGGGCAGGTGGCCTGGACCTGTTCGCGAACCACCTTGAGATGAGCAGCATTCCCCTGCTACCAGCCCAAGCATAGCCAATTCCACAAACCCAGACTGAAAACAACTGATTATATAGCAGTTCTCAAACTGAAAGTCACCCATCCCTTTTGGGCATAAGCTTCATGAAAGTTAGCATTGCTGTGCAGCAGTAGGACATCCTACAACTCCAACATGAGCACAGCCTGCAAAACACACTCAGCATTAGGAAGGCTTCAGCTGAGTAGCGGTATATCCAGTTTTGGGGAACACACTTCAAGAAAAGATGTGTTCTCCATGGAAAGGGTCCAAAAAGGAAGGAAGAATCGAAGCTAAAAGTTGTCATCTATAATATCCTAGTGAATAAGCATTCTTTAGCCACTCTTTAATCTAGAGGACAAGATTCAAAAGGAGACAGCATTTTCACATTTTCAAATATGGAATACAGTTGCAGAGAGCAAGGTAACAAATTGTTTTCTATATCCACAGAAGGTAGAAGGAATAGCAGTACTGGTTTTAAATTGCAGCAATAAGGTATTCAGGTAACACATCAGGAAACCTTTCAGTGAGAGATAAAACAATCAGAATAAACCAAACAAAAAGGCTTTAAGAAGAGGTTAGACAAACAATTGTTAAAGAACAATGTAGGCGTAAATGTGTGTATTTTATTTGTACATTTTATTAAACACATACATGGGAAACCAGTTATCTCTGAAATATCTTCCAGTCTATTCTTTATGACTTTTCATAGTAAATATCTGCAATAGAAGTGATAAAACAAATTATTTAATACACTTCTTCCCTGATGATAACTATTTCAGTGGCATGAATCACACAGCTTAGAAGCAGCATATTGGTCACAGAACCTGGAATGTTGCTCACTGGCATCAGAAATTAAAAAGATGAAACAAAGCCAACGAACAAAGCAGAGAATAAGATTACTGCAAAGTATTAGACATTCTGGATTATTATCCACAAGCCAGCAAACACCAGGAAAAAAACATCCCCTGGAACCCTGTCTACGGGTGTCTCAGTAGGAAATTTACATACAAATCATCAAGTACCAATACTATATCAATCATCATTTTCAATCCAGCCTTCACCAGTGACAGTATTAACAACTTAACAGTTCACAAAAACTGTGATGCAGCTTTCTATAGGTGCTTTTACTCTTCCCCTGTTACTGTATTAAAATTCAAAATTATCTTGCAGAAGCTAAAGATCAGTATCACTAAACCACTATGAGAAACAGACCTAATCAACAAAACATGCCTTAGAATTAGACCATGCTGGTGGTCTGCCTTGTAAAGACAAAGAAATAGAGTTCACAAACTAGGTGATTTGTGCAGTTGTTGATATCTTTAAATTATTCCTTTCCTGGGCTATTTTAACTCTAAGCATTTTGAACTGTAAACATAGACCATGAGAGTGAGAAACAGAAAATACTATCTCCCAAAAACTACTCTCCTGCCAAGTGACAACAGCAAACTAGTGCAAAGTCTAAACATCCAAAGGAACAAAAATCTATTGCCTTTTTTCCAGTACTGGCATTTTCTTATTTAAGTTATTAAAGTGACCAAAAAAAACCCCTATCTTTTTGGAAGCAAAAAGGCTAAACTCGTTTCTCCACAATTTTTTTGTTAACTATAGCGCACATTTTGTTTTACCCTTAATCATCCATTAAATGAACAAACATTTTTACCATACTGGTTTTAATTTTTTCACCTCCAACCTGCTGCATAAACAGAAAGGGGAGGAGGAAGGCCACTGTACAAAAACAGCTTAAGGGCACCTTTAATCAGTGACTAAGAAGAAAAGGGGTTTACTAGGCTGACTGAGAGGGTGGTTACCATTACACTCTTTGTTGCTCTGAGCAACTGAGGAGTTGATTCTGATTGCTGCAGCCCCCATTTTTCCCTCCCACCTTGTCCAGTCGCTGCACACCCCCCAAAGCTGCCCCAGCACTCGTGCCTCAATACCACCCATCCAGCTGTTTGCTGCCCAGCAGTAGAAGGCTAAAAAAGAAAAAAAAAAAAAAAAGGAAATTAATTATCAAGAGGCCTCAGCCAGGAAAGTCACTTTAGAGAGAGTACCTCTCTTTTTCTAAATTCTTGACAGCTGCCCAGAGCCAAAGGACGGCTTGTAGGCACCCAGCGAGAAAGAAGCAGCGGTACCCTTTCGGTGCTCGCACCACTCAAAGCACGCCACCACCAGCCACCCCCAGGCTTCCTCTTCCCTGCCCTGCATTGCTTCCCTACCGTGCTAAGCGACCCTTTTTTGCCCAAAAACTC